TGTGCACACGGCCCCTCCTGCTCTGAATCTCAGGGGATTCAGGATTAATCAGGACCTTCTGTTTATGAGTATGCTAGCTCCAAAATTCTGACCTTTATCACCAGCCTTGTTCTCTGACCCCAGTCATAGGCTAAGGCCTGCATTCTCAAATTGAGTATTTCTAGAGGTGTTCAATTCTTTGAACTTGCAGTGATGTGGTCACTAGACCAGATCCATGTGTATAAAACTAAAGAAGTTAATACAGACCAACTACAAGGCCTAATGGTATTTATTATAGGTTTTTATAAAGATCCTTTAAACAGAATTATTCCTGTTCTTGCCTAGTTTACAGATTAATAGAAGATATGACAGAAATATATTGATAATAATGTGAATAATGTAGATTCCAAGATCTGCAATAGAGTGGCATAGTTTTATCTGAGCTTAAAAGCTTAGAAAAGAATGCTTTAAGAATTCAAAATTGGTTCTTTTTTTAACATTATAGCTGAATGTTTTTAAAAATGGTTAATTTTTTTAAAAAAAAATTAAACAGTGATACCTGTTTCATAGAATCTGTATATTAAATGTTGTATTACATTCATGAAATACTCATTCACTGATCTGGTATCTAATGAGAATGCAATTATATACATACACAGATATATTTCAATTTATATATAAATTGGTTTAGAGACAGTAATTGCTTTCAACATTTGACATATTGAAGGTGAACATCCCGGTAACTAACAAGAAGAGACAACCCTAGGCAGGCAGGTGAACCAGTGGAGCCAGCAGAAAGCTCTGAATGGAATGAAGATGAAGGAATAGCAAAAGCAAACGTCACGGGGCAGTTCCCATGGGAGGTACCCGGGAAAATTCTGGGAAACAGAAACATGAGCACCCTGGATGATTTCTTCACAAAGTTAAAAGGGAGAATTAAAAAAGAAGAAAAGCAAACAAACTGAAAGTCAAGGGCAATGACATGGCTTCCTCCTTCACCAGCACAAACAAGGAGATCCCACAGCCTTTGGTGCCCAGGACTGGGGAATTGCATGCCTCATCTGGCAAGAAGAGTAGGAATGATACTTCTGTGAAATCGGGTGACATTCCCACTTTTCTCCCCTGCTTGCACTTTTCTGCCTACAGCTGACAAGCAATGACGTCCTCACATCATGCGGTTTGTCGACCAGTGAGAGGTTGGGGGGGCCGGAGGGTGTGGAAAAAGACTGGATTCGCTGAAAGTCCTCTGTGTCACCATCCTCTTTTCCTGACTGCTCCTAACTCAGAACATGCATCAGCAACAATATGTAGCTTGACACACAAAGAAGGGGTCACATGCTCCTGACCAGTGAGTTAGTCATTTCATGTGGTTTTCCATATTGTGTGTCACCAGGCACTTAAAAATACCAAAGATAAATCCCTTGCTTGGCAGCTGCTGGGTCGTTTCTTAACAAGTTGAAGCGTGTGGATTAAAACGCAATGTGTTCGTATCAGAGATACACGGATCTTCCTTAAAATCTCACAGTAAGTTTGAAGTTTTGCATTTGAAAATAATACAATGAGTCTTCCATAAAGCTGTGAAATTTTTGAGAACTGAATGTCTCATATCTATGCTATCAAGAAACTGAAGATGAATTGTGATTCAAAATGTTCTCCCCAATAATGTTATCATAGGACTTGGATGAAAGGTTTGTGAAGGAAAAACCATCCCGAGAGCTATAAATATAGAAATCCATAAAATTAAAAATAGGGCTTTTATATGTCAGCCAGTCTCCTGGTGTTGTTTCTGAAACAAGTATGAGAGCAATAATGAGGAATAGAGAAGGCATTTGAACTGTGTGCTAGGTAGCATCCAAGGCCTGGGTCATGAGCTGGTTGATGATTCCATTCCCCTCACTACCTCTTAGGGGTACATTCTGTTCACTATTTCAACTTCACCTATGGAGACAGATTTAGAGGGGGGAGGAAGGTATCCCTGAGAGACCACAGAGCCCTGCCTCTTCCCTGTTCTTTGCCTGGGGACCTTGATTTAGTTACCCCATCTCTCAGTTCCTCACTGCATCTGTCCTTCCTCTAGCACTTCTTTTGCCCAAACGTTTGGATATTCTCTACATTTACTTTTTTAAATGCAACCAGAAGGAGGACTACTCACGCTATTCAGATCATTAGCTTTAATTTTGTAAACTGTATGTAATCAAATACATGCTCAAAGAATTTAGGCTAAACGTCCGTCTTGAGCAGTGTGCTCTTGAATAATTATTTTAGCAGTAATATGGGGCTCATGAGAAATGGTAAATTTATGCCAAGACTCTTGGATCCCAAAGCCCACAGACTTGAACTGGTGAATAGCCAGCGTCCTCCCAGGTGGCTCTGTCTCCGCCTCCTGCCTGGTTTTGCTGTCAGCTCTGCTGGGGGCATCACCTGGGCAGCCTCTGCCCGTAATGCCAGGGGGCTGCGGGCTGGAGGGTGCTCCAGGGTGCCTCCCAGGTGTCAGGTCTGGGCTGCCCTCCTCACTGGGTCTGTGGTGTTGAACAAGTTACAAGTTCCACAGATAAAACTGATACCGTCGGTTATGGGTAATGGTCCTGCTTCCCACAGGCTGGAGTTTGAACCTTGGAGACAGACGCCGTGGCAGGCATATGAAGCAGGGTTTATTTAAAAAGGGGAAACATAGACTTCTCCCAGGGGAGAGAAGGGGCCATAGCTGTATCCTGGTATCCCAAGAAATGAGGTGCTCTGCCCTTTTTATATGCCTAGGACTCCTTTGTTCTCCTGCCTCCCTCCCCCACTCATCTTTCTCCTTCCTGTGGACAGGACTAGGCCCAGGAATGCTCCCTGGGAGGCCAAAGGTGGATGGAAGGGGGAAGGGCAGGGTGGAGGAGACAAGGACACTTTAACAACCTTATAGCTCCCTGTAGGGGGGAAATTCCTGGGAAGGTCACCTTGGCAACAGGTGGGAGCAGGGACAGGTAGATCCTTCAGGGGACAGTCTCCAACTCCCAGACTCGCTCAAAATTGGCCTCCTAGATCCGACCTGGCTCGACTGACCTTTCTACACTGACTGCTTGTCTAATTCTGGCTTCCAAACAAAGATGACGGAGGTATTGATCTATAAAGATAAGTTGCAACATTTATATTCACTTCTTGCACGTATCTCTGAGAACTCAATGACCGATATTAATATGCTGCATGAGATTTCTAAAGCCTCATTTGGAAATGTTTCTTCAGTGTTTATAATACTGTTTTATCTATTTTGGGGTGTGTGTGTGTAATATTTAGAATAATCTTACCATCAGTTATGATAAGTGACTATTGAAAAGGCAGTTACATTATCTTTTTTTTGTAGTGAATTATAACCAATACAGTGAGGGTTAATTTCATTTCCTATAATGTAAAATCAAACATTAATAAATAAGATTTCTATAGTTATGAATTTCAAAATATGATAATGACATGAAATGCTGTATGTGAAGTATCTTACTGAGAAAGATACACATACATACACACACATGTATATATGTGTATGTGTGTGTGTGTGTGAGTGTAAACAATTACCAGCGTGCAACCTGAATTTAATTGCAGAAATATCCAGGAGATGCCATACTTCTTACAGTGTCCACCTAAACGGGCCATAAGTGTTCTTTATTTCACATAGAATTTGAGCTTCCTGTACAGAGCACAAAAGGAGAACAGTAAAATCATGGCATTACATAATTTTCTAGTGTTTTAATTTTTGTTTCTACACACCTGATCATAAAAGCCGATTGGTACTATGCTATCAGGAATTACAATCTACAATCAGAGAAAAAAAGGTTGAATAGTGCTAAAGAAAGTATTAGTAAATTGCAAGATTATTAGAAAAATAATACTTGAAGGTTGTGAATCTCAACATCATTCTGTGATAATCAAGTTGCAGCTTTGAGATATAAGTTGAAGCTCATTTTATCCTGTAATTCTATAAACTACTATTGATTAGTATGGACATAGATATTTCACAGATGATGAATGAATGAGTGAATGATGGCTTTACTTAAGGTACTCTGAATAGGAAAATGGGCGGGACTTAACTTCATATCCAGGGAAATGACTTTCTGGGAGGAAATGCAATGTCTTATAGACAAAAAGGAGAATCTGTTGGGCCTGACTTATTTTAGATAAATGCAGTTAAATGGGTCTTCCTTGTTTTTATTGGAAGAGTTAAAGTTTGAAAAATGGTTTTTAAAGCACAACCAAAGGAGATGATTCTGTGTTTAGATATGGGGACAGCCCACAAAATTCCAACCAAAGATGGTGTCTGATCTTCACCACAAAATGAGCTTGTTAAATTTTCTAGTTCAGATAGTGCTTCCAAATTCTCGTTAAATGTTGGGTTTTAACTCTGATAATAGACTAAAACAAGAAATTAAAGTGAATCATGTTAATTAATTGCAACCACTACATCAGCTCATGAATCATAAGTGCAAGATTGCAGTTTTGAGATATAATTCAAAGCTTATTTTATTCTATAGTTCTATAAACTAGTACCCATTAGTATGAACAAAGGGATTTAAATACCTTAGAGGCTCTGTGGATTTTTAGATGGTAGCAGGGAGAGGCACGAATAGGAATGCTGTTTTTAACAGCCAAGTTAGTTGACCAGCCAGTGGATTGCTCCAGGTCTCCTTTGCACTATTTTAATGTAACCAGAAATTGCTGGTAGTGTCTCTTTTGTGGCATGAAAATGATACTATCCAGTTCTACATTGTGGAATCAGCACCTTTCAAATAAAATAAGTGCATGGCACATGCTTTTCGTGCAGAATCAGTAGCAACAACTTCAAATTCTAGGTCATCAAAGAAAATATTTTTCTTATGATGAAATGAAAAGCCACTCTAGGGCTTGTCTAACATATTCCGAAATTTTGCTTTGATGTTATCTAAATTCTCTCTCCTAGTTATAATTGTTGTCAAAAATCATTCTGTTTGTCTTTTTTTTTTTTTTTTTTTTTTTTAACACTGAACTTGATTTTCTTGTCTTCCTAGGATCCCCTGCCTTGACAGGAACGGGAACAATCAATGTCATCGTAGATGACGTCAATGACAACGTCCCCACTTTTGCCAGTAAGATGTATTTCATATCAATTCCTGAAGATGCAGCAACTGGAACGGATGTCCTGTTGGTAAATGCCTCAGATGCTGATGCTTCAGCAAATGCGGTGATAAGGTCAGTACCTGGGACTTTGTAAATTTTGGTTATTTTCTCATTAAACACTAGTCTTTGGATTAAATGAATATAATTTTTCTGGAAATTTCATACCCATGCATAGAGCTAGTCCTGCTTTCTGTTGCTGAATAATCATCGCCACAATGAGGACTAAGACAATAACAAATGTTCTGATTCTTAGTAATCAAGCAGTAACAGAGAACAGCATTGTGGACCCTGGTTCAGAGAGAAGGCGAGACAGCTGATCTGTAAGGTTCCGTTGATACAGCTTCATCCCCTTATTCCCGGCCCGGACAAACGTGTGGAAGAAGATTCCCACATTTTCTAGAAGTCCCAAAGACACAGATCATTTTTCACATGCCCCCTCTGTAGGCTGGTACTGTTCCTACTAGAGTGGGTTAAATCACAAGGAAAACAGTGGCTCAGAGGGACGGAGGGGGTCAGATCAGTCATCAGTCCAAGGCACAAATAGTGGTACTGTGATGATTTCATCATTTATTCATTTTTTTGTTTGTTACTAATTTTCTTTTAACAAAGTCATCTTGGGAGCTGGGTAATCCCAGCGGCTCAGAAAACTGAGGCAGGAAGATGGCGAGTTCAAAGTCAGCCTCAGCCAAAGGGAGGTCAGTGAGGCCCTGACTCTAAATAAATTCAAAATAGGGCTGGGGGTGTGGCTCAGTGGTCAAGTGCCCCCCAGTTAATGCCTGGTAACAACAACAACAAAAAGACCATCTTGGGAAACTGACTCTCCCTATTGGCAAGGATGGTATAGTGGGTAAGAGGGTCACAAGTATATAATAAATACTTATTGAATTGCTGATTTGAAGAAGAGTGCCAAGAAGAAAAGATTGCTACACTTTGAACCTGCATTCTTTTTAAGGTAGGCAGCTAAACACAGATAGAGAAGAGTATTTCATCCAGTGTTGACTGCTTGAAGATGAGGCAGGACAGCACAGTGGAGAGCGACACAGCGTGGATTTGTAGACGGTGCCTTAGTCCATCCTGCAAGGCTAGGTGATAGACAGCAGCAGAATTCACTGCTGCCTCCTCACTAACATGTCGCTGTGCTTCCAGAGGAGATGAAGGCCGGGTCCTCCCCTGAAGGAAGAGCAGGAGTGAGCCTACTCTGTCCAGCCCTTTGATGGTTTATTATTATTATTGTCATTATTATTATTATTTTATTTTTTGGCACCAGGGATTAAACCTAGGGGGTCATAATCACTGAGATGCATCCATAGCCTTTTTAAAATTTTTTATTTAGAATCAGGGTGTTGCTAAATTGTTTAAAGCCTCATTAAGCTGCTGAGGCTGGCCTTGAACTTTCAGTCCTCTTGCCTCAGCCTCCACAGTCGGCTCCAGCCTGTACCAGGGATTGAACTCAGGGCCACTCAGTCCCTGAATCACACCCCCAGCCCTATTTTGTATTTTATTTAGAGACAGAGCCTCACTGAATTGCTTAGCACCTCACTGTTGCTGAAGCTGGCTTCGAACTCCTCATCCTCCTGTCTCAGCCTCCCAAGCCTTTGGGATTACAGGCGTGCACCACTGTGCCTGGTGGCACCATTCCTTTTATAAGGGACATTAACTCACCATGAAAGCTCCACTCTCCTGACAAACCACTTCCCAAACACCTCACCTCCAATAATATCACTTTGGCTGTTAAGTTTTGACTTTTGGAAGACACATTTGGACCCTAGCAGATGGCTTCAGTAAGGACGTGACCTTTAAGTTAGTAGTAGTACAGCAGTGTGGTGGAACTGAGCCTTGTGTTTTATCTAAGAAGGACAGTGTATTTGGACCAGAGTGAGAAACAGGCTGGAGAGATAGGCAGGTGCCAAATCATCCCAGCCATTTTATTGCTCCTGGGAGGATTATAAGCTTATTTTTAGGTAGGAAACTATTGGATATATTTTAAAACCAAAAAATAAAAAAAAAACATAGAATTTCTGTATTTGTATTGGATGGGTAAGGCAGAACTGTAGAGAGGGGCTCTATAAAGAAACAAGATCATTTCAGTACTAATCAATAAAGTGAATCAAACACAAAATGGACATGTCACCACCCAGGTGGAGAAATGAAGATTGGGCCATAGGGTAAGGGTATACATTTGATATTGACAGTGTAAAATGAAAGAGAGACATCAGAGCTGTCTTTACTAAGATCTTGCCTTGAACCCCAGAGCAGACTGGGCATCATTGACTGAGGTGGGTGGGACTGATGAGAAACAGGTTTGGGGGATTCTGGAAGTTTCCATGTGAATATAACTTGAGGTGGCAATCATTCACAGCTAGGAAGTTGGAGACGTGAGTGTGGAGCTAAGGAATAGCTTTGCAGACCTGGGAGTCATCAGTGTCTGGGGGACATTTTAAACCAGGGAACCAGATTGAGAACACTTTAGGAGAGAGTGTAGCAGGGGAAAGAGAGAGAGGCTGGGAGTGTCACGGGAATTCTCCAAGGTAAAAGGTGGATTTCAAAGGAAATGTCACCAAGCAGTTAAGGGTCTGGTCAGAGACAGGGGAAGAAATCCAGGGCATAGAGGGCATGTGCATGCGTTGTCAAAGGAAGGACAGCTGCATTCACACTGTGTTCCAGCAGGCTGGGGTCGACTACAGAAGTGAATTCCTAGAGGCTCCTGGAGGTGAGTCCTGGGGCGCTGGGGAGTCTCTGGCCATAGTCATGACTCTGTGCCTGCCTGGGTCATTGTGCTTAGCACCACCCTGAGAGTGGCAGGTACAACTTCTCCCTGGGTATGAACCTCAAAAGGCTAGTGAATGTCCCATCCTTCATTTGTCCTACACCAAAGAATAGGAATAATTAAATCTATAACCTGAGATTCAGTTCGAAGTCTTCAGTTTAATGTAAGAGTAGATCCTGGAGTCAAATTGCACGGGATTGAATCCTGACTCCACTGTTATTAATTACATAGTATGTGCAAATTACCTAACACTTTTGGAGATCAACTTTTTTAAATCAATGGACTAGCTATGCTAATAATACAACTGATTCTCTAGCAGATAAATTGAATGAATTAGGTGAACTATTCAGAATAGTTTCTCAGTACTTGTCATCCATATTGCTGTGGTCCATGGAAAATGCTTGACCCTCACCTGTCACCTGCAGTGCCCAGTAAGTGTCTGATATTAATTTTGAAGAGATGTCTTATTCATGATAGTCTGAAAATCTGATAATTCATTATCTGTCACATAGAGAAAACTTCCTCTCAAGATAGCATATAGAATTCTGCCAGTCAGTAGGAGGATTTGTCTGAGATATCGAAGTTCTTGGTGTAAAGCTGAATATTCACAAAATTGATCTCTTCACCTATCTATCTGTTCATTTATCATTAGAATAAAAATGTCAAGATGATATGCTGTTTTCGTCTAGTGTTGTGTGAAAATCCATTGAAAACTGCTATCCTATACTTTGAACCATAGTGATCAGTATCAGATTGGTCCAGAAAATTTTTGTTGAAAAAGTATTCCATGCATTCTAATGGCACAATTTAAAACAAAAATCTTCACATAATGGTCACATCCCACATTTTGCAAAACCTTGGCATACAGTCTGTGATGATATTGGAATAAAATACAGCAATGCACGAGGTGGCTCTCTTTGAATTAAATCAGTGTAACCAATACTACCTTGAATCACTTTGAAAGATTCATTTTGGCTTTTGCCACCCAATGTGGCATTTTTCTCTCTCACTACATTCCCTCAGTTGAACTTTACCTTCTTTATATTCTAAGTAATGGAACAAGAGCATGTTGAAGTTGCAAAGGCAGAAGTTAAAACTCTAGATCTACCATTTGCAGGTTGTGAGTTTCTTTGTGTAACTATTTGAATCTCTTTTACATTCAGATTCCTCATCTATAAAAATCCTAAACAAAAACCAAACCGTTCGGGGTGTTTTGAGTTTTAAATGGCAGGATGTGTAAATAGCCCAAGAGCGTTCAGTACATACTGAGAAGTCGGGAACACGTGGGATATTTAAAGAGCAGCTGAGATGTTTAACTGTTCAGAAGACAGCACAAGACCCAATCTAATAAAGTTGAAACCTCACACCGATTTGGTCTGGACTACAGAAGCAGAAAAGATCTCCTTGGGTAATGAGAACAGAATCAAGTCTCAAACAAGAGAGGCAGCCAAACCTGAGCAGCACATGTGTCTCAGCCTCTACTCACAGAGCTGCCTGCCTTTCCTCTCTTTTTATCCTGGAAGGACAAATTTGCATGCCTGTGGCATCACAGAATCTCACACTCAAAATACGCTTCTCGTGCATTTTTGAACTTAACAAAGTCTAGAAAAAGAACACATATTAATATGACAATTTATGCTTTAATTTTCAAAACCTGAGTCTATTACTACATTTCAACAGACAACCATATGGACAGCAGCATGCACAGCAGCGTAAAGTAGTGCATACATGTTCATGGTACCTGCTCCTTTCTTGTGTAGCTAAACCTGGGCCAGGCCACCTTTGCCTTTCTGCACGTCACTCCTTCCTGACACATCCCATTGCTGTATGCAAAACACCCAAATCCAAATTTGCACGTGTTTTCATCACTGGAAGTTCATTTTAATTTGTGACTGTTTGAGGGAACAAATCTTTGATTGAATCGTGATCTATGTTGCCATAGCTGTTAAGAAAGCTCACGGCAGAATGAATGGCTTCTTTTTCTTATTAAATTATTGGTAAGTTCTACATCCTCCCCATAACAAGGAGGTTTCCAAAGTAAAATCGCACACTTCTCGTAATCCAGGTTTCTTCAAACTTCCAAAAGTAAATAAATAAATAAATAACTTGAGTATTTTACAAGTCCTCAATTCCTAATTTTAAAGACTTCATCTATGAACCACTGACCTATTTATTGATTGATTGATTGATTGATGAGGGGACTAGATATCACAAACTGTATATGTCAGTGACTAAACTTTACCAAGCATCTTTTTGGCTCCAAAAGACACAGTCAGTTCTGTTTTCAATCAGTCTTGATTCTGATATGTGGTTGTGTCAAAAGTATGTTGAAAATCTGAGAAATATCAACACTTTATTGATACCAATGTCATTTCTCAATTAAATCCCTTCTTTAGTCTTTTCCTGTTTTGTTATAATTTTATAGGATTCATATTCTTTAAACATCAACTCATAAAAGGTTTATTATTATTATTATCATTATTGTCATTATTATCATTATTTAACTAAAGCAGAATGCAATGTGAAAACGTTTGTTTTAAACTGCACATTATAGGCTGAATGCATACACCCTGGCTTCGAGGTGTTTTTGCCCCTCCTGTGATTTCTGTCAGACATTTCCTCAGGATTTGTTTATTTGGATACAAGCCATAGAAACACAACTCCAGCAAGCTCTGTCCTTGTTGGTATAAAAGGAAAATGTCTAAAAGCCTATTCTCTTGCTACCTCCAACTGTCAGATTTGGGGGCTGCAGTCGGTTTCTGAACCCTCAGGTTGGGCGCTGCTCTTCACCGACCTCTGCGACCCAGACGGCACCCGCGAGGTGTGCAGATGGCTCCCCTCTGCAGGGGGAGGCGGTTCCTAGTGGAACGTCCTGCCTCGCACCCAATCTGGTTAGCCTCAAACTGTCCATGAAGACGTCATGCCTGTCTCCAAAGAGCAACAGCACCACATGAGGAAGACAGAGGAGGGGACGGGCCACCGGGAAGGGCCCTGTGTAAACAGGCGGCTTTCTAGTTGGTGAGAGCTCGCGGGTGTTAGGCCCGGGGTTTTGTCTTTAAAGAATAAGCTCTGAGACTGATTTTCTGTCATCTATCATGACGTATAGCAGAAAAATGATTTTAGGCCGATTTTTAAAATATTCGTTTGTGATACCGACCTCTCAGCACAAGAGCAGGGCCCTGATTTACATTTTCAGGCTCATTTATTTAACCCAGAAGTGCTCTGGGTTTATTCTGTGGGCTTGCATGGCTTGAGAGTCCTAAAGACCTTGCAGAGATCTCCTCGAGGTCATTGGCTATTGCACAAGACAGATGTGATGTTCTCATAAAATCTGAAAAATTCATCTTCTAGCCATATTCCTTTGTTGTTTTTCAGTCTGACTTGAAATACATTTCATTGTGTTTCTGCCTTCTTTTTTAAATTACAGTAAGTAAGATGCTAGAGTATGTCAGTAAGAGTCATATGGCTGTCTCTGTCTCTGCTTTAGTTACAGCATCATGGGTGGCAACTCCCAGTTCACCATCAACCCGTCCACAGGACAGATCATCACAAGCGCCTTGCTAGACAGGGAAACCAAAGACAACTACACTTTGGTAGTGGTCGCCAGTGATGCTGGATCCCCGGAGGCTCTGTCCAGCTCCACCAGTGTGCTTGTCACGGTGACGGACGTCAACGACAATCCACCACGATTCCAACATCACCCATATGTCACCCATATCCCATCCCCGGTGCTTCCAGGTAATCAGTCCAATTCTGAGGTCACATGGACACATGCAAACTACACAGCAGGTGTTTTCCCTGAATACACTTGTGTTATCTCTATACATATACATATTTCTGCTACAGCCTCATTTTGCAAACTCTTTAAATTTCAGGTTGTTTGGCCAATGAAATTGAAGAAGATTTGAACTCTATAAATTAACTTGTTTTTCCATACCAGTTGTGGATAGGATTTTATAATTGCCACATCTTTCCTGTTACTATTTCTTAATATCCCTTGAACACTATAAACAAGCTAGACATTATTGCACAGTCAAAGATGGCTCTCCCCTTTGGTATGATTAATGTGTGAGCTGCCTAAGAGGAGGAACATTGTCTCTGTTTTTCACACCGTATTCTCAGTACCTGAAACTTTATCTAGGAGGTAATAAGCATTTAAATATAATTACTGGTTGAAAATAAATATTTTTGCTTCAGTTCTTCAAAGAATGTTTAAAAATGTCTAATGAATAAATGATTCTAAACAGTATTTATTTCTATGTCATTCTTGCTGGATGGAAGACCATCAGCCACTCAGCTTGTAGAGCCATTTATGAATCACATCCATATTGACAGTATGAACTAACCCTTCTGCTTCTCTTCCAAACTTGGTTTAGCATCATTTCTATTGGTAACGAATGGCCTATTATCTAAAGAACTGCACAAATCTTATGTCATTTCTGATTTTTTTAGAGGAGCTTTCAAAAAGGAATAGGCACAAATACAGCTTATAATTTAATTTTCCTTGCTTAAAAATATTTTTAATTGGGGCTGGGGATGTGGCTCAAGAGGTAGCGTGCTCGCCTGGCGTGCGTGYGGCCCGGGTTCGATCCTCAGCACCACATACCAACAAAGATGTTGTGTCTGCCGAGAACTAAAAAATAAATATTAAAAA